AAATTCAATTAATAGTCATATTAATAATATATCTACTTACACAACCACCATCTACATCAGCTTGAAAAGGATAATCTGTTATGATTTGTCTGCAAACTTGTCTTCTTTGATCTGCTGTAGGAGACCTGTCACGTTCAAAGTTAAATAGAATGATGTAAGTGATTTCTGACAAAATGGTTTTAATGCATGCATTCATTTTCAGCAGTGTTTTTCTCTCTCTGCATAATACCAGAACCGGTTTTCCCAAAAAATGCAGGGATAAAATTAGGTAAAATACTTTTGTGCAGGCACCCTACAGCATTACTAGGTCTGTTCTTTCTGTCTTTTTTGTTTTAAATTTGTAAATAACCAAGCCTAAGACAGGCTAGAGCATATTGTGTCCACTTATAATACATATTAGACACAAATGTAGCTCACATGCAAGTGTGGGTGTACTGCATGAGTTACAATGTAGCTAACCCAGTTATGTATATGTTGTAGTTAATTTTTTAACTCGGGTAATTTTTGTTTTTCGTTTGTTTAACTACAACATTTACAAACTCAAAATGATTCAGATCTGCTGTTTACAATGGCTCAGCAATTTCTTGCCCATAAAGGATACGAAATGTTTCCTTGAAATTGACTTCCACTGACTTTAGAGAAGCTTGTCCCAAGCCACCTGCATATGCAATTATTTTAACCTTCTGGTAAATTGCAGGCGTTGAAATCTACATGAATCAATATTTACTGTTTACTCACATTGTGTATTGACAAATTGCATCATATATGGCTTGTATAAACTTGCTTCGTGCCTTTTTCTCCATGTAAGATCGTTTCCATAATGCCTCCATTACAACTGGTGGGAAGGACTTTGGCAGGACAAAAGTAGCTGGCCAGGTCTTGGACATCAACCTGTTCATAGGTTTATACTCTGGACTAAAGAAGTGATCATGGATAAATTTTATTGAGGATGCCTTTCTTCATACATTTAAATTAGCCAGTATTGAACTGGAACACTGACAGATACATCAATTCTGTGCCACTTGAATGCATAAGATTAAAACATATCCAATATGTTACTACTAATACTACTTAATTGTTAAGTACAGTCGAACCCCCCATAAGCGACAACCCAAACTGCCAAGACTGAGTGGTTGCGTATGGGAGGTGGTCATTTACAAGAATCAAACCACAGGGGGCCTATTACGAGAAGAGTGCCAGGCACATATAGTTTATGGAAGATAATAAATTGCATGGAATGTCTAAGTTGCGACATGTGTAAGTTCCATTTTGTTGCTAAAGTACTTCGTATATCCCAAGAAGCATAGTGCACATTTAGCGAACATAGAGGTCAGAGAATGTGTCAAGTGGTTACTTACATGAGGTTAAAAACAATGGAAAATCATTAACCGTTAGGCCCAAAAAGTGGCTGCGGTCACGTACATGTGGTGTTCATTTACTGGAGTTTCCAGCTATAAGGCTTTGACTGGGAAAATTTTGGTGTTTTGGATTGGTGGTCGCTTATGGGAGGTGGTCGCTTACAAGAGATGGTCGCACATGGAGGGTCAACTATACTTGAAAATTAACCCTTGGACTGACTATTACCAGTAATTAATAACATTTGTTGTGGTGCGGGCAATTACAAAATCAAACTATTACAAAATGATGATTATAATAAGTCTATTTTTTAAAACTATTTACGTGTCAAGTCCACAATCAAAATTACATGCAAAATGTAATGACAGGGAAATACTGGATAATGGGAAACAATCCCATTATCCAACCAGCAGCCATGTTACTGCTAGTTACAATGATAATCTCTCAGCCATTTCTTTCAGCTCATTTGATGTACATCTATCATTGTATGGTTCTATACACCTTTTGCACAAGTCTTTCAGGTTTTTAACCTTTACCAGTTTGTAAATCTTACAGAAAACTAGACCAATTGAATACACATCACTTTTCACTGAAGGTGTGTGTGATCCATCAATCACTTCAGGTGCAATGTGAAAATGTCGTTTTCGATAGATCTCCTTCTCAGTGTCACTTAGGTTTTTTTTTGGACATCTGACATGTGCTTGGATTTGCCAAAGTCAACCAAAATAGGTGAGTAGGGCATTTGAATGTTTTCTTCTTTTACCATAACTATATTGTCAGCTTTAATGTCATTATGCAATATCCCCTTTTCGTGAACATGTTTAAGTGCATCACACAGGTGAATAACAGTATTTAGCCAATTTGAAGTTGTCAGTAGTTCTGAGGAAGACTGAAAACAGTCTTTTAATGAAAGTGGCTTGCCACCTACTCCATAGAATTGTAGTACAAGCATGAAAGGTTTGGCCTGACAGGAAATTCCAAATAGAACTGGAAGATTTAAATGATTGAATGAGGAAATAATGTTTGCCTCATGCTCAACTTCTGCCTGGGAGACTCCTTCATTGAATTGTTTCACTGCAACAGGCATTTCACGATAATAGGCAAGTGTAACTTTTCCAAAATTTCTTTCACCAAGGGTTATTACGTTTTTGGAGTCACTGTCCATATTTACATGTATCAGTTCCCTTGGAATCTCTAGGAATGACTTTGTTACTGCACAGCACTGTCTGAAGAATTGATTGACTTTGTTTTATTTTTCATCTGCAAATAAAGTAATCTTTCTTTTTCACGCTCTGTTTGACGCCACATTTGGTAAAACTTCTCTTGATTTTTTTTGGCAGAAGACAGTTTTTCTTCGGTTTTCTGTCTTTTCTTTTTTTCTTGAACTAGCTCTTCATGGGCGTTTTTCTTCATTTGTCTTATTTCCAACCTTTTTCGTTTATTTCGAGCTAGTCTCTGACGCCCTTTTGCCTCATCAGATCTTTTCCAACTAAAAAAAATGAAATAATAAAAATTTGTTCAAAGAGGGTCCAAGCATTACTGTGAGTGTATCTCCTTTTTCTTTCTTCCTTCCTTTCTCTCTTTTTTGTTGTTCTATCCTTCTAGAGTTTTTCTGATAATTTTAACTATAATAATTGTTACCAGCTGTCAATTCATCATGTTCCAAGTAACGAGCGGGCTGACCTCTCAACTTTGGAGCTAGTTAAAAGCGGAAAATCCAACTTTACATAGCTATGGAAACCCACAACATGATGAATTGAAAGATAAAGGTAACTTATTTGGGAATATATATAACTGAGAACCTTACAGACATATTTTAATAATGAGTTGTGCAGCTTCAATCATTATATTGAATGAACAGAACTTTACAGTTTTAGGTCTCAGGCAGTTTTATCGAAAAAGACAATATTGAAGTATCGTTTAGGTAAAATAGATCGGATGGTCGAAATTAATATTTTATAGTTCAGGTATCTGTTGTGAATGATTGCACAAAAAATGTTTATACGGTCCCTTATGTTGTATATGGACAGCACACTTTGGCAAATTGTAATGTATTTAGAATTTGCTTACTAATGCACAACCTCGTTCCCAGGATTCTCTCCTACCCTCTCCGTATAGGTTGACTAATGCATTGTAACTGAGTCTTCTTTCTTCCACTGAACCTAATTCCCCACCCACCCTTCCTAAGAAACACGTCAGTACTAATTTTTCTATGTTGCAAGCTTCATTGCTAGTAAATTCCCTATATATAATATTGTCTCTTTTGTTATAGGTTGGGTTTTCCATAATTGACCGGATTTCATAACCAAAAAAACAGCTTACAAGTGACTTCCACATGGACAACATTGGCAAATCTCTCCCCTTCTACTCCCATAGCCGTTTCTAAAATGAGATGATGTTTGTGACTGGCCCTTTTGGAAGTGTAAATAGGTTCTCACCTTATTTTTTTCCACTGATGGGGCGCTAGATGCTTCACCAACTGTTTCAGCATTAGCATCTTCATGTATAGGTCGCGCTTCGGTTGTCCGAACTTCTGTGCTTTCATCGTTAAGTTTTTTTATTTTATGGAGCAGCTTAGCGCGAACGCCAGCAGGGGGCACGAGGGTCTTCAACGTCTCCTCGTTCATGCACAACAGTGCTTCACCATCAACCTGTTCAGCTTTGAAATTAAAAAAAAAAGTATAGAGTTAAGAAGGGAAAATTAAAGTTTTTAAAGCTAAACTTTCAGGCCTTAATGTAATTTGAAGTAAAAACATCAACGTGTTCCATTATTTCGCGCCAAAAGGGCATTTTCAGTTGGGAACCTTTGAGGCTATTTTCTTACCATAAAAATGATCGGCAAATGCCTGAAATCCCTCCTTCTTCATCCACTCTTGAACATCTTCACAAGAAAAAATAATTGAAGCCATGGCAGACAGACTAAATGATTTAACTCTTTCGTGCAGAATCTACAGATGGTGAAATGGACAGCTACTGCTTCGGTGTGCGTGAATATTTGAACGGCACGCAACGTTAAAACAATTCACGAAACCTTTCTCTTTTTTCTGATTGGATAAAACATTACTTGATAAGGTACCGTCTTGAAAGGAATGTTCACAATGCAATCAAAAGGGATTATGAAACTGTGAGAACGTTTTAGGACTGAGCTGTGATTGGTCGTATCAGCACACACAAAACATTCCAATGTTGTTTCGCTTGCCAACGTTGATAGACGCGTTTCAAAATATAACTAACAAGATCACTTTCGAGAGCCTCACGCAACATACAAATGACTGGTTTAAGCAAATGCGATTTTTCCTTGATGTTTGGAAGGTTAACTTGTTTATAACACGAATGCTGTCTTTTTAGAACATTTTAAATTTGCTCAATTACAGTATCTTTGTTTTCACTTTTCCGGCGTATAAACACTGAAAGCACGTGCTTTCAATTAGTCACGGAAAGCACGTGCTTTCTATTAGTTCCCGCCAAAATTTGGCGCAAGCGCGCGCTCCGAGACACGAAACTGTAGAGAACCTAGACAGAAGCGGTCATGGATCGATTTTCTTGTTATAAAGTTGAGTGCAGTCATCTGTCCTTTCCAACCTTTAAACGCTACCTAAATCATATTCGTAACTCGCATAGCTTTGAACCTAACTTCAAGATAGCATGCACAGTTGAGGGATGCTTTCAGACTTTCACAGTGTTTACATCGTTCACTTCCCATTTGTATCGAAAGCACCAAGGGCACATACGCTTAACGTCTGATGATTGTGGTCAAGATGAAAGTACATCACTTGTTGCCGGTGAACACCAAGAAGATATCTCACATGAAGACGATTCACGGCTTGAAGAAAAATCAACAAGAAGCTTGTTTCTTTCTGTCGTAAAAATGCAAGAGATTCATATGTTGACAGACTCTGCTACTTCGGACATCCTTAATTACGTAAAGGATGTTGTTGATCAAAACGTTAACCATTTTAAAGAACGTGTTCAGAGGTGCCTAAAGGTAGAGGGAATGGCTATTGATGAAGTCGAAGGGTTGGAGGAAGCTCTTGATAAACCTACACCCTTTGATAGTGCATTTGAAAGACTTCAAACCGTGAGACAGAGAACAGAATATGCATTAAATACTATGAAGATGGTGGTAAGACTTTTGATGTTTGTCTGTTTAATACATCCAGTATGAGTTTGTTTTTATGAAACGAACTGTCTAGAAAATGACATGTACTGTTTAAGAAAGGAATGAACTGCAAACCTTTTAATCTTTAATTTGTGCATGTGTTTGTGTGAAGGTTTCAACTCATAGCCCACCAGTGTAGACCCCAGTAGGGGCGGGGGAGGGGGGTGGCGGGTGCTACTCCGGATTTCAAGTGACAGGGATGATTGAAGGATTTTTGGGGGGGGGTTGAAATTTTTGATTTCAGGATTTTTTTTGGGAAGGAAAATTTTGAGATGTAATTTTTGGGGAAAGCTTAAGTTAAGTATAGAGTTTCTGGGGTATTCAAAACTTATGTTTCTGTTTTTCGTCTAATATCATTTAATGCTTTCTGGAAATTTTTATGCCACAGAAATTCAGCATGAGATTTTTTGGGGGCTTAAATTTTTGTCCAGGAATTTTCTGGGGTTTTGATTTCTGCCCGCATTCAATCATCTCTATCACTTGAAATCCAAGTACCACCCCTGGGATGCAGACCATAGTTTTCAGATTCCTTTTGAGTTGTTTCCAATCACAACACTGACTCTGCTGTTTATAAACTCAATACCCCTTACACTTTTCTTCGCACATACATACCTCCACAAAAAGTAAATTTGCATATACAGTCAACTCCCGTTATAGCGGACACCCTCGGGACCGCGATTTGGTGTCCGTAATAGCGAGAGTCCGTAATAGCCGGGTGCGAGAAAATTTTTATTTTAAACCATATATATATTTACAGAAGGGGTCACATGTGTGTCCATTTTCATTAACTCCAGTACCTTTTTCAGACCCGTTGTCGCAAGTAAAGACCGTCAGACTTTATTTACAAACAGAACAGAACTTAACAGAACAGGAGTTACGTACCCTTTGTGTACAGTAGTTCTTCTAAACTCATTTTGTGCTATTTTTATTTACTGTACCGGTTATGGCCAGTCCTCAAATTGGAAGAGTTGAAAGCAAAGAGTACTACTCGTGGATGCGAGGCCACCATGCTTACAAGGACATTTTCGAGCCTGTTATTGGTACCACGCTCACTTTACAGCGGGAACCAGAAAATGCAAAAGATCCGCATGTTGTTGCTTTTGTAGAAGATACTGGACCCATTGTTGGCCATATCCCATTAGCTTTATCGAGAATTGTGTCGTCTTTTTTAAAAAGGGCTATCCACAAGGAAACAGCAGAAATCTGTGGAAAACGGATCAATCGAGGATCTGGCTTGGGACTGGAACTTCCAGTTATTTATAAGATTTACGGCGGAAGGAAATATTTGGACAGACTGGACGAACTTATTCATGGCAGCGAGACTGCAAAGAGGGACTTAAGAGAAAAAGACAAAGACAGTCTCAAAGCAGAAAAAATAGACTTTCTATGTGTGCAAATATTCCAAGATGCTGCTCGGTGTCCGCTATAACGAGAGAGAAAACAATAAAATTGTGACGTTGGGACCGAATAAAGTGTCCGTAAGTCCGTAGTAGCGAGAGTCCGTAATAGCGGGAGTTTATTTCAGTCAAACGTTTGTAACTTTCGCCGGGGATTTTGCTGCTGTCCGTAATAGCGGGGTGTCCGTAATAGCGAGGTGTCCGCAAGGCGGGAGTTGACTGTAATAGACAAGAGTAAAACTGATACATATTTGGGCATGGCACAGAAGAGGTGGTAATTTTTTATTGAATTCCATTGTTGTGTTAGAGTTGTGTCATCTTTTAACCTTGAAAATACTAATACTTGTCTTTTATTCATGTAGTTTTGGGTTTAACTTGGATTAGCTAAGGTTCAAATTGCAGGGCATTTTGTTAATCTGCACACCAGCAAATACTCCATTTGATACTAAAATGTTAATCAGCTGGGCTTTAAATTTTCTTTAGGAGCCAGGAGAAGTTGTTCTTGGGGAAGAGGTTAAGTTCTACTCATTTAATGGACGGAGACGATTTAAAGTCAAGAGGCACACTTTTCAATATATTTCTGTAATCAGTATGCTTGAAGTGTTGCTGAATCAATATGATGTATTCACTGAGGTAAAGTTTTGAACACATTTGTTTATGATATTTTTGAGATTCAGTTTTGTTAATGAACTAGGGCAACCTACGACATTCTTTTTGATCATGACAAGTAGGGCTCAGTCATCTAAGGTCATTTAGTTATGCGAGTCTTATTGTAATTTTCTTACTTTTTGAGGCATCAAGTTTGTTGTGTATATTTATGCAGTTAATTTTTTTTCAGATTAAACATGGTCACAGCATGCCAGAAGGGAAAATAAGAGATTTCTGTGATGGAAGCTTATTCAACAACCACCCCTTATTTTCTGCTAACTCTAAAGCCCCTCAGATAATGACATATTTTGATGAATTTGAAGTGTGTGATCCTCTTGGCTCTAAAGCATCTAAACACAAAATGGGTTTGTACACTACTAAACCTTATTTTTATTACTCTTTTGTATGTTTTATAAGGGATAAAAAAACTGGAAGTGTGTATTAGTGAGTCCTAATCTGTTTTTGTTAGAGTCCCCTTTATATTAATTCCAGGAAAAATACAGTTTCACATATGCATGTGTCTAAATGATGTAGGCATTGCCTCTCTTTCCATTTTGTTTTTGTTTTACTGGTAAAAATGGAGCTTACACTGCAAAACATTGAAATCAGTTCAGATTTGACTCCGGCCCTATGTTCCACTGGTCACTGAAAGGAAATATGATAATGATCAAGATTAATTTCTCAATGTCTCCATGAGCTGAAGTTCCGTATCTTTAGTATTTAAAGAAGGGTGCTAATTATGGAATATATTTTTTCATTCATTTGAATAATAACTGCATTTTATTGGATGCTTGGCAATCTCCACCTTAAGTACCGCTCAGTTTTGAGATCAATGCAGTTAGTGGCTATTTGTCCCTCCCAATACCTTAATCGATATGGATTTGATAAAGTTTTCCATCGATTCATGGTAGAGATCAACATGCTTGAGTCTGTAAGTATTTTTAATGTGCATTGATCATCTCAGCAATACAGCCACATCAGTCTTACTTCTGATAATTATCTGAACTTTCTATCTATGGCCAAAAGCATTTATTATCTAAAAAACATAAATTAATTCAAACTCAAGTTCCAAAAATATTTATATTTTCAAAGAAGGTCAGGAATGAGGTTCAGAGATCACTAATTTGAATTAAGAGAGAAGTGACATTCCCTGCTAGCAGAGGTCTCTCATGGCGAGGCAAAAATGAGAGAAAGGAGAGAGACCTCTGCCGGCTTCCGACGCGTTGTTTGATGAAGCCGCCAACCAGATTTCTGGTCGAAACTTACGGGTTTTTAAAACCGGTTCCATTTAATGTGTACTGCGTGCCTTGTTAAACTGTTCACTGACAATTATTGAGCCCACAGTGAATTATGGCTTCCATGAGATCCACGAGTTTCGAAATTTCTCACTTTGATCAAGCCATAAAATCATCCGTTTCTAAGCTTGGCGACAAACGTATAAAAGAAATAACTTCCCTACAAAGAAAAGTCATACTTGGTTTCCTTAAAGGCCGTGATACGTTTGCGTGTCTCCCGACGGGCTACGGCAAATCTTTAATTTACCAACTAGCAGTACGAGTGGCTGCCGAGTTATCTGTTGTTTACAATTACAAGGATCTCTTCTCTTCAGAACCAGTGGTTTTAGTTGTCTCTCCTTTGAATGCCCTTATCAAGGACCAGTTATCGTCTTGTGAGAAGCTAAGGATCAACGCTACCAAAATAGAAGGCTCCGAGTTGCCATCCTTAGAAGGCACTGAAATTGTCTACGTTAGCCCGGAAACTTTAATTGGAAACACGCAGATTCTTCTACAACTTGGAGAGCGCCTGCTTGGGATAGTTGTTGACGAGTCTCACTGCGTGAATAACTGGTAAGAATAGTGATGAAAAAATCTTAAATCCCCAACTATTGATATATTGAAGTCAACTTGCAAGCCAATGATGCACTGAACCATTGACTGTCATCAAGACATTCAAAAGGCCCTCAACTAAAATACTTAATTCTGAGTTGAAAGGTGCTATTTGAAAGCTATCATCATCGCTTTACGTGTTTGAAATGAAATCACTCTTTATTATGAAAGACAAAGACAACTTCTAGGTGATGCCCTAAGATATCCAACCAAGTCTTTCCTATTTCCCAGATAATAATGCATTTGCTCGTATGTTCATAAAAATGTGCATTGACACTGTATGTTGTTTTGCCATTAATGTTATCACCAGTGCTAAACACCCGTAATTGACTTTTCATAACGTTTCTCTATTTTTTTGATAGGGGCTTTGGATCTTCTCCTGAGAAAGCACCCTTTCGAGATGCCTACAGCAAAATAGGCAATGTGAGGGGTTTCACAAGAGTTCCTTTACTGTGCTTAACTGCTAACAGCAGCAAAGAAAACAAGAAAGCAAATCATCAAGACTTTGTACATGAAAAATGTCCTTTTCATTAGTAAGCCACCTGATAAAAACAATATAAAAATGTCAGTGCATAAACTTTCTCAAGAAGAGGAGTTGGAAACAACATTTTCCTGGCTGACAGAAGAACTCAAGACCAAAAAAAATAGAACGAGCAAAACAATAATCTACTGTCAGTCAATAAATGCGTGTGGGGAATTATATTCCATGATGGATAGTGTTCTTGATGGAGATGCCGTCTCCAACATTGCCATGTTTCACAGTAAGACACCTGAGGCTTTGAAAACACAGGTCTTAGATAATTTTGTTCCCATGGATGGCCCAGTGAGGGTAGTGGTTGCTACCACAGCCCTAGGAATGGGGGTAAATATCCCAAATGTGGAAAGGGTATGCCATTTTGGCATACCTGATGCTGTGGAAGAATATGTTCAGGAAATCGGGCGGGCACGACGAGATGGGAGGAAAAGCCACGGTATATTGTATTTTAAGTCCTACCATTTGGCACATTGCGATGATAGCATGAAAGCATTGATCAGAAATCCAGAAACCAAATGTAGACGTGAGATGGTGGCGATGCACTTTAAAACAAAGCATGCAAAAGTTTCCCCTTTACATGACTGTTGTGACGTGTGTACTGAAAAGTGTGATTGTTCCCTGTCATCTTGCAAGGAAGGTCCTCACATGGCCCAACCTGCTATAACTGAAGGCAATGCTCCAATGAGAACTGTAGAGGATGATGAAAGGCAGCTTTTGCGTGAAATTTTGCAAGAATTGAAAGACTCCACAAATGCCTCTGGCTCAATATTTGGGTCAAACAATTTATTGGCACAGATAGATGACAATTTAATAAAAGAACTGGTGAACAGCTGTGAGTACATCTTCACTACTTCTTACCTGATGGAAAACTTTGCAATATTTAATATTGACACTGCCCAACAGATTCTCACTGTGTTTGCGGATGTGTTTGGGGATATAGAAGAGGTAGAATTTGTAACAGCTATGGAATTGTCAAAGTTTGAGGAAGATGATCCTCTTTATCTTAATCACTGTTACTCTGAAGATGTGGAGGAAATCCTTTCAGAAGACGAGCTAAGTTATGATTTTGATTATTAACTTGAAGGTCATTTGACATTAATTTATTGTAATAAGTCAGGATAAGCATCAATGTTCAGTCTGTTGAATGACTGTCACATGCTTGTGCAATCAACAACTTCCATCATTTGTAGCCTTGATGCAGGGCTCGAAAAAAAAAAGTCTGTCATGTAGTCCCAGACATTTTGCTTTTTTCTTCCTGTGCAAGTAACATTCAAGGGTCCAGGCAAGTCAATCTCTAACAAAACCGTTAACAATCATGAGTAAGAAGTGGCACCAGCGAGCAAAATACAAAAGCTGCTTGCCCATATGACGTGCTGGAATTCAATTTTTTTTCGAGCCCTGCTTGATCCCTAGGTAGAGTATAACTTGTTTTTTACAAGGGCGTTTAAAGAAGCGACCATTAAAAACAGGATGATCAACATAAATATTGTGTCCTAACAATATCAATATAATGACAATAACTGTTTATGAGAAATTTTAAAGTTGTCATCAATGTAAAAATACTTAGATCTTCAATTAAATTCAATAAAGAAAAAAATATATATCCCTTGAGGGGAAAAAAATTACATGCTATATTTTTGCATATCAACTTTTGCTCATTCTGAAAAAAAAATAAGATGGAATCCACCAGGAAATATTGAGTAATTTTAATTTTTACTGGACAAAACCTTTGTACCAGAATGATTTAAAGCACATTGTATTCTTTTTAACATTTTTCAAAAGTGGAAGAGGTAATTAGTCTTCTGTAATAACACCCAGGAAAACTTCTTATTGGAGCCTGAGAAAATGAATGTCAAAGTTCACAAAATTACATCTCACACATGAAATTTTCAGACGTTTTCCTGTGTTTTCACAATTCTTGTGAAATTTGACATTCATTTTCTTTGGTGTTATTACAGATGACTATTTACATCTTTATCCCTTGCAAAATGTAAAAAAAAGGAATATTCTTGAGATTATTCTGGTACAAGGTGTCCTCAGAGAATTAAAATTTCTCAGTTTCCTGGTGGATTCCGTCTTAACAATCTTGGGTAAATTAAAAATGAAACGGCCACCTCTTTCAAAGTAGAATAGTTGGTCAATTTTCACAAAAAGAATTACACTGGCGAGACATCAGTTTAGTGTCAACCATTCAACCCTTGGGGGTTGGAGGTGGGTGGTTTTTGAACAATGTTTCATTTTCCAGAGCCAAAAGAAAGAACAAAAAGATCTATATTCTTTGAGGGAAAACAGTTCCATAATACTTTTTTGGCCCTTACTGAGAAACAGAGAGTTGTTTTGGACACATTTGATTAACATTTGTATTGATGCCGATTCTGCCTGTGCCAAGACTTTTTGTGTTTGCTGATCCACCTGTGCAGTTTCTTTTTATCCAGGGAGCTGTAAATACTTCGGGTCACTTTCGGGAATGATTCAAACTTGCGACCAGGTACAAAATCAAACATCTTAGCTTTTGTGTGTAACTGGTTCAATACTGATGTAAAAACTGCTTGCCTGGTCTTGTTGGTATGATGTGTTGACCGCTTTGTTATTCCAAGGTCTTGGCTGGACGTGACAAGCAGTTTTTTTAAAGAACCTGTGGACTGTGTGGTTGACTGTATACTATCAGGTGTTACATTTGGGGCTCCTATCCCGCGGATAGCTTGCTTGGATACCTGGTTTATTTGCTCCAGTCTCAGGTCTTGCAAAATGCACTTGCCTACTCCTCCCTGCTTGTTTGCAAATCTGTTCCACGTCAGCCTATGAGCTTGACGAGGTGTCAACAGTGCTAGCCTTGATGCCATCAAACGCAGCCCCGCCAAAGCATATTTGTGTTTTCCTTGACTTCGGAATACGAAGGTCAAGAATTTCCAAACTCTCATCAGTCTTTCACCATCACCCTCTTTTACCGAGTCATCTGCATTGTGGAGAAGAAGACCTAGACTTAAGTGTAGACACCCATAATTAAATACATTGTCCTACTTTGACTCTGACAACTCTGACTTCTTGTTCTCATCACTTGTCTCATCCTGCTTTTCCTCTGTTACTTCTAAATCATGGATCTTTTTTTCATGGTTGACACGGCATTTTGCATACACAAATGTTCGTGTGCAACCAGAAAATCGGCAGGGAAGCACGGGTCTGACTCCGACATGCCCCATCTCATCTCTAGCTCTTTCAATATCTGACACCCCATCCATGATATACTCATCAAGCATGCTGCTGATGTGTCCATGGAGCCACTTGCGCTTCTCTTCATTTGAAGACTTTTGTAAGTTCCTAGGGATTTTGTTTTTTGTTGGCGAACTATCAACTGTGTCCATACCGAAATATCTCATGGTCGCTGCAACAATCATGGCCTCATTTTCAAGTTTAAAAAACTCTTTTACAGCATCATAGTTGTCTAGTGTGTCCCTCAGAGCATTAGTGTTTCCAGATACCACTGCATTAGAGGCAAATGTACCCCAATCCGCCACAGAGGAGGACTTGCGTAAAATGTCTGTAGCAACCTAAAGATAGGGAAAAATAATTCATAATTTAAAAGCCATAAATTTGTTTGACATTGGTTTTCAGGAAATTGAGAAAAATCCATCTTCACAACCAAATTAATCAGTTCTTGCCGTCTTACACACCAGCCTAATTAAAATCAAAAATCTGTTTTGTAGTTAAGTGTTGATCATATATGGTCACTTTTTACAATATTACAATTGTGTTGTTGACATTCAATACCCTTGATTTTGGGTTTTGTTCTCTTTTGTTTATTTTATATTTAAAATCTTTGCCTGACTGAGATTAGCGACTTATAAGACATTGAATGGGAAATCATACAACATAGTTTTCTCTCAATATATGTAAATCGGAAATTAAAGGAGTTTGAAGCAAGTTACCAAAAATATGGGATGAGATGGGCTTGAAACTATGGAAAAACAGAAAGGAAACAAAAATTACTTCAAGTTAGCAGGAGCAACAGTTCGATTTGTTTTGAGAGCGACTGTTTATTTTTAAGATATTGCATCCTATTGCATATGCCACCTCTTTCTTGGCATGGATGACTGAACAAGTATAAGTATTTATAAGTTACCTGATAGGCAATTCTAATTCCATGCCAGTCCTCGTTTTTTGGCCACACTCCCTGTAGTCTCTCTTGAATTGTATCTCCATCCATCCTGGCCTTTTGTATGTTCCTTGCCAGCTCTTCCGTAAGTTGGTCACCACCAAAAAACACTATATCAGCTGGTACACTCTCCCCTCCATTCTGCACCATTGGTACATATTTCTCCTGTAGTGTTTCCAATATGTCCACCATATCCTCGTTGAGGGTCTCATTCTTTGGGAGACATCCCAGTGGAACCTAAAGAACATAAATTAGAAATTTAAAATTTTATCAGTGATTTGATTGTTGCAAAGAACTGTGTATAAACGGTAGTTAACAATTTTTGGATAGGCTTGCAATGGGCAAAAATTTGAAGCTGTAAACATTTTCTTTAAGGAATGGACTTAATTAAGGCAAACAACAGCAACATTCAAAGCTTTGATTAATAGGAGCTCAGTTTTGGTTTCGCATCTGGTAATCAAAAGCATGTTTGCATAATATTTAAAACTGCAACAAAAAGCTCTCATAACTGCCTAGGTAAACACTTGCAAATAGACTTCTACACCGTAATAAGGGATTACCCATATATGTAGCAGCCTGTAAAGATGCCCATTTTGGACTAATCATTTTTCAATTAAATGGAAGCTACAGTTGAACAGAGGTTCCTTGGATCAATAATTATTATTTCCTTTAAGGTTACCTCCTCAGTAACAGCCTGCATTTCCTTGCTGTACTGATGTTGGATGTCCTGTATCACCACACCCTTTAAGAAACTGAATGCTGGAATGTTTTTCGCCATTACCCTGGCCCAGAGTACAATGAAATCCTTCTTAAGGTTCTCCACATCATTATGGCATGGCAAAAACTCTGAGATTTCAACATCATTAAGTGTTCTAATATGCTTGTTGGGAAGGTTGCTTCCCGAGACAACATCTCGCATTGCCACTAGGTTGAAAGTATGCAGGGATTTGTTTTTGTTTTGTTCACTCATGTGTCTCACATTAATGTGCAAATCCACATTGTCTCCAATTATCTGATATCCCTTTGGCTGATCTTGATGAAGAACTGAATCAATTGCAGATTTCAAGTCATTCTTGTCCTGGCTAGCTGCAGCTTCAGAAACAGCTTTAATTGTCTCTTGAAGTGTATTGTCACTTATGCCTCCAGTTTTAATGTTGTTGCAAACACTTGTCACAGTGTCTCCTGGTTGATAGCTGAAGCACAAGGTGAGTGCAGATGTATCTACTGTGGTGATATCCTGAACTGTTGCATCATTGATATGACCTTTACTTGTAGATTCTTTGGCCTCATTACTAGATGTACCAAGAACATGCTCCACAAAGTTTTCAAGAGGTGGCTGCGAAGGAAGATAATTCAGACCTTGCAATTCTTCTTTAAGGTTTTCTGCACAGAGCCTCACTTCAGCTGCTTGAGAAATCGATTTGGTCCACTCCAAGAGTTGAGAATCATGATTTTTTTCCCAATTCCTTGCTTTTTGAGGCGATAGTATCTGGATGTAGAGTAATTCCATGCTTTGACAGCAGCTCAAGACCCTAGAAGTTAAAATATATGACTTTATTTTTAACCATGGAAAATAACTACACAAATTTATCTCACTCTGAAAGGGCAAAAAATGAAATTGTGTAAACAGTAGGTAATGGTATTGAATCACTAGGTAATTGATGATGTTCTTTGACCTGATTTGGCACATGTAAAACCTAACAATTAGTGAACAGTAGTTTCAATTACAGAAAAGTAAATTGTGAGTTAAACAAGGAATGTTCTTTATCATATAAATCAAAATTATTTCGTCAATGAAATACGATCAAATGTATTTTGTCATTCTGGAAAATATCCATATGTAGAATCTATCACATAATTATCACTTACTACTCTTCCAGCTCCAGAATACCTCACGAGGAGGCCTATTCGGTATGCCATTGCCGACAAAGCAGAACACCTTGAATTAAGGATCATACTAGCAATAGTGGGAATAACTGGAGGGATAAGCTTGTGCTGACTGTCATCAGCTGCATTCTCCTCGGATCTATCTCTCAGTTTCTTTCTCTCTGAAGAGCACATAACTTCCAGCAAGTGAAAGGTTTCAGGTGCTTTCTCTGCTAGCTCTTGTTGAAATGTTTCGAGTCTAAAAGCTGTTAGGTCAGTGGGGCTGGAGTTTCTCAGTACACTTGAGGAGACAAGATTTTTCATCTTATTGTTCAAGTTAGCAATGAAGGCCTGCTTGATTACTAGATTTGCTTCAGGGATGTTAACAAGTGATTTGTAGGCCTGTTCATTTAGCTCAAGCGCGAAGTATTTTACTAACGTTGCTATGTGGGGGTTATTGATCAGTCGTTCCCTGTTTCCACTGGGATAACAGATGGTTACCTAAAAACAAATTAAAAAAATAAATATTACCCACTTAAATGATTCTCTGTCAGTTGTAATATGTACAATTTCGAAAAAAATAGTCCAATGCGAAATTAAAAATTTGTCTCTTATAAATCGCCGAGTTATTTTTTTGATGTTTATATCATAAAACTTCGACAGAGTTATTACGTCAGCCTAAAAGAAGAGCTCTTCCCGCCATATATTAAATAAAGTGTATCATAAAAAAGGAGACAAAAATTCAGAACCTCCTACCTAAGACAAGTCTTGTTATGAAATGAATAGATAGTTTTTTGCGCCTATCCTGGTAATTCCAATTCGATATGGAACGCACGGTCACCTTTAGTAAGTGCTCCGTGGGTAAACAAAACAACTACAATGTACCCCAGAATGAGGAGAAGATTGTGAGCTAGCTAAAGCGAAATGTCACGTTTCAGAAATTGAGAAAGCTTACCTTCACTTTAACATTTTCAGCTTCACGGTTCGATTCAACTGGGACAGATTCAACCACACTAATGCCGTGCGAAATCGGAATGTTTACATGCTGAGTAACTTCGCTTGCGCCGCCATGTTCCGGAAATTGCCCCTGGAAATCTTCTTCATCAAATTGCAATGGTGCAAAGCCACAGTCATGTTGCCATTCCTCGCCATGATTCGGGAATTGTGTATCTCGATCTTCTGCATCATACTGCAGTTTTACACAGCCAAAGTCATCACTCCATTCCACGTTAACTGGAGTGTCAAAACAACGCCTCTTTCCTCTTTTCTCGCTCGTGCCGGGGCTTTGTTTGGCAAGCCGTTTAAAGCGATCGCCATTTACGCCAAAACAAGCCTTGTTACTTTCCTTTGTTTTCTCATAGTGTTCAACTATTTCCCGTTTACTGTCTTCAATATCCTTGCTTCGTTTATATATGGCTTCAATGCGTTGAAAGCATTTTTTACACAGGCGAGTCGATTCTCCATCAAAGTCAGGCGTCTTCTCCAACAGCCGACAAACTCTGTCTCTAAGCTCTTTGTTTTTTAGGGATCTCCAAGTGTTTTGCCCGCTTATTTTAAAATCTAAACCACACAAAAGGCATCTACCGTCTTTTCCAGACCCAACTGGTTTAATGGGCGTCCGAGGTGACGCGCTTTCCCCAAATTTGCGAGATTGTGGAGTTCTCGGCATCGTTTCACATTGCGAAGAATTCTCCACAACATACCCGCACCTTCAGCTGAAGTTTCGCGCGCAAACCGGTTCTGTGGGTTGTGTCGCACGTGAGAAAAACGTCACTGGTTGTTAAGGAAACGCCAGCGCATGCGTGATAGGAAACGCGTCGGAAGCCGGCAGAGGTCTCTCTCCTTTCTCTCATTTTTGCCTCGCCGTGAGAGACCTCTGCTAGCAGGGAAGAAGTGACAGGGCATTGATCTGCCTTGCATGAGGATCTTATTTTTCACTGTAAGGGTTGATTTCCAGTGTCGCGTAATTCTTACGCGTGTATACAAGCATAAAATTTACGTTCGCAAATAAAATAGGGGCAATACATTGTTTAAAAGAGTATCTTGGTGAAACTGTATAGTTATATCAGTAGCATTAGAATCAAACTTACTGTCATCAAGGAGAGGTTACCTAAATTGCCTTGCATACATATAGTTACCCTTACCTTTTTAATTAAATACAGGTTTAATAATGAATTAAGTTGCCATTTTTGGGTTAGGTCTTTGAATGCGCTTTATTTTCAGGATGCTGGAATTCCTTTTGAAGTCAATGGTGTGGCTATGCACTTCAGTGGTACAATAGGACCGTGCCTGGCAGACAATCTTGGTAGTCATTCTTGGGGAGGTTTTATGGAAAGTTTCAGTGCGTATAGAAAATGCAGGTTTTGCATGGGAACTCCAGAGGATATACAACAAAAGGTACAAATTATAACTTGTAATAGTTCATGTCTTTGATTGAACGCATGGATCTTTATCTCAAATCATTTGTAGAATCTGCAATGGTGTCTTACTTATTTTGTAGTTTACTGAGGAGGAATTTGTACTAAGAAGCCGAATTGGACATGACCATCATCTGGACCAAATTGAGGCAGATCCTTCCTGTACGTCAGTTTATGGAGTAAAAAGAAAGTCACCATTAAATAAAAGTAAATATTTTCACGTTGTGGATGGACTTCCTTCTGACATCATGCATGACCTGTTGGAGGGTGTAATACCACGGCACTTGAAGTTACTTCTTCGGTTCTTCATTATGGAGAGTAATTTTTTCACTCTTGAAATGCTGAATGAGAAGATTAAGACATTTGATTATGGCAGTGTAGAAACATCCAACAGACCTTCAACTATAACCAACTTAACTTTAAGTTCAAATGATGACAACCTCAAACAATCAGGTCAGTCAACACCAGTCTACTGTATGGTTAAATAATATGATTATTTGATAAACATTGAAGACAACAGGAATTAATTAGTAAATAATGCAGGATGAGGCTTCCAGTACCTGGTAGTCTTTCACTGTGAAGTCTAGCTCTTCAATAGCTATAGGCATTCTTCGATTGGTTTATTAAATCTGTTGTTGGAAAAGTTGGTAATTTTTGATATTATATTATTATCAGTTTTGATTTACATTGACAGTGGTTAACCTCAGTATAACAAACCTCTGTAATATAATGAAATGTCATATTTATAGCAAACATATTTTGCCAGTCCCTTGACCCTTAACATTTCCTTAAATGCTGAAGACTCTTAGTTTGCTTGGTTTTATATAGCTGCTCAAATGTGGTGCTTAGCACGCTACTTTCCTCTGATGATAACTGAATGGATTCCTCCAGATAATGACCATTTAATCCTTTTTTGTGATTTGCTTCGAATTGTGGATCTATGCTGTGCCCCTATGACAAGTGCCACCGCTGCAGCCTATTTAAGAATTCTTATCAAAGATTATTTGCAAGAAATGCTGTTGCTAAATCCAAGCAAAAATATATCACCTAAGCAGCACTTTTTGGTCCACTATCCTAGACAGCTTGTTCAGTGAGTACCACATAATGATTTACATTATTCCAATTTTCTTTTTTCCTTTACTATATTAAAATTGTTCACTCAATATAGGTGTTGTGATAAACAATATAATCTTGTCTGCAAGGTCGTCAGGTCTGGAAGCCACTGGATTTTTCACAGCTGCCATGAACATAATCCCTAGCTTCTTTTGTAGGAAAGGAAAAGAAACAGAAATGAATGAACTTCTTAGCTGTTAAATCCCCCGCCATAAGGATTCCATGTGTCCCTGTTGGTGAATCCCTGTTGTTTATGTGCATATTAGCATAATTTGTGAAAAGGTGAATTCCCTTAAGCACAACTTACAACTCAATATTAAAAAAAGTCTTTTACAAAATACCTGGATTGGGCTTTTACATGTATAGATATCTTCAACTTCAAAGTTTTGTATTGGTTGGATTGGTAATAACTATTCTCTCATATAATATAAAATGTTCATTTTACAACTTTTATTACAGGGCTGGTCCTCTTATCAGACTGTGGTGTATACGATTTGAGGCTAAAAACCACTATTTCAAGAAGCTGGCAAGGAGCTCAAAGGGTTTCCAGAATTTGTGCAAAACACTGGCCATCCACCATCAAAGGCTACAGTCTTATTGGCTTTCTGTTGAAGGAGGGTATCTACGTTCAGCTCAGGAAAATGGACCAGGTTTGTTCACCTAGCACCTGAGACATGAATTCACTCACTGCATATTTTGAATGTTTTTTTTTTCTGTTAAACCTGATCGGCAAATTTTGGTATAATTTATTGCTGGTTATAGTACTTAAACTTTAGAAGAACGAAAATTAAATATCCTTTTACATGTTTTATGTCTGATTACGAATTTGAGTATGAACACTTCTTCAGAAAAGTGTATGAGTGTATGTGTGGAGGGTTGTGGGGTGGTAAGGGGTGTACAAGCCTTCTCATCCAGAATAACCTGTAAAAACAGTGGGGTAGGGTACCTTTTTTTTCTCTTTTTCTACATTTTGCAGTTCTTTTCACCCACTCAATGCCATGTACAACCTAAATGTAGGTCCCCACTAAGCTGGATTTGTCATACAAAAAAGGATCAATGGAATGGAGGCGTGCATTAACTTATTTACTGAGTTTATGTTCCCCATTTTATATTGCATCATTTTAAGGGAGAAGCATTGCTGTTAATGAAATGACAAGAGTGCGTCAGAATGCTCTATATGGCCACTTTCCTTATATCTTACCAGATACTATACTCTACAGGTACATGAATGGGTAGAGGTATTATTATTATTCTGATGAATAAATGAAAAATAAGAAAGTGTATTATTCATATTATTTTATACATTCCTGACTGTTTCATTTGTATCCTATGCATTTAAGCTTTTTTAAAATATGAGACGTCTGCACGTAGGTAATTTTATAATGGGAAACTTAATAATGTTGACTATTATTTAATTGCCTCCTTATTCATAATATTGCATTTACATTAACCAGGTAATATCTGTAAACTAACATACTTTTCTTTACATTTTGCAGGCCAAATTGGGTTCAGTGCTTTGGAACAAAGTACCAGGCAAGGCAAATTCTTGTGATTGGGCATGATGGCCTCCTGCCTCAGTTTCTTCAAATTGCTGAAATTCTAATTTTACCAAATGGAAGTATAGTTTTTGTTGGAAACAAGTTAGGCACAGTCAGGCACATTGAACATCTTTGTTCATATGAGATTTTAGTACGTAACGAAGAGCTGATAAGTAGCTATGAAGCCCTTATCGATCACCACCTTTATTACTCCACAGAGTTAAGGTTGGAGGTATTGAGACACTTGTTGTGATTATGAGATATGACCTGGCAGATGCTGTATAAATGAATCAACCGCAGTTATTTAAAAAATATGTCTAGACAGTGCTTAACTAAAATGCTATGTATTAAAATTTATGATATTTTGATACAAATGAAGTGAGAGTTCATTCTTTTAACAATGGGTAATGGCTTTATTTAAGGTTCTTGCCCCCCTCAAGATGACACACACTGTATCGGGGCGGGGGGTGGTGGTGGGGTCCCGGTAGTAGATGCCCATGTGTGGGTGTGTGTTTGTGTATGAGTGTTTTTTTAGGGCTATCTGCCCTTAATAAAGGTTGTGAGGTTAATTGTCCTTATTAGATCCGTCAATTTTTCAAGAAGAGGAAATTACATCATCCGTAATAAAAGATTCATATATTAAGAAAGTTTTTGTGATCAGAGTAAGGGCTTTTAACCTGTGTAGCACCAAGTAGTAGAACTACATTCATGCTGGGGCACTGCCGCACATCTCATATTTTTTGAAAAGCAATAGACCTATTCGGCTAACTCAATGTTGTACCCAATTCAAATCTCAGTGGGTTAAAATTCTTTGTGTATTGTATTTACGTTATAATGTGGCATTCACATTTAAACGATATGAAAATTCCTCAAACAAAGCGTTTCATTCCCAAATGGTTTGAATCGGGTTCAACATTGAGTTAGCCAAATTCATGTGAGCAGGGTGTTTAAGGCTTTTAGGACTTTTCCTTAGATTCTCAAGGTATTTTTCCAGTGATCATACCAAAACGACCTATATAAGTTTCAACATTTTTGACCAGGAATCTGCAATTGATAATTTCAGATTAACTCCTTGTTAGTGTTTTGATACACGATTTAGTGTAAAATTACACATCAGTTGTGTTAAGTACTTGCAAGAGTTTTGAAACACAGATGTAGTGTTACTTTACACCGCCAAAGTGTGGCACATTTCTTGATTACACCATTTTAGTGTTTTCATACACTGAATTGGTGTATCTTTTAAGAAACACTCGGCAAGTGTTATGATAACACTAATTCAGTGTTAATGTATATCACCCTTGGTGTTAATTTACAACCTCGAATTTGCTGTGTAATTTGGCTGAATTTCGTGACACAGCTCCTTTAAGCTTAATCAACACAGATACAGAAACAATTTCCGCTTGCCGTTTTCGTCTTCATTGACTCTTTAGTTGTCTCTGCTTTACAAAACGCGCGTAGCTATGCGATTTCCCTCCAAAATAACCTCGACGTGCATTTGGGTTGCCATACATGTTGACTGAGTCATTTTACATTGGTATGCCTGTGGTGCGGACGGACGGTCGTTCGGTATATGGTAACGTGATTACCAAATTTTCTGGGATGGGTAGATTTACTTACCCATGGTGCTCTGCTGGCGAGCGCGAGAGGTCCGCCTATAGTAATTAAATAATAACGGGATTATATGTAATGATAAAAATAATAATAATAAGGTTACTAGAGGTTGCCACTGACTAACACATTATGATTTGTCGGTGGATGATAAGGGGAATGGCTTAATCAATCAATCAATCAGTCAATTAATCAAGACTATATTTAATCGCGATGAGGGTTGAAACTTGGTAACTTGTGCGTGGTCCAGGATCAAACCCTTAACAGTTAATATTACTAATGATCGACTTGTTTAGAAACGACTTGACATAAGGTCTGATTATCTACTTTCCTGAGCAATGAGGAGAATAAACCCCAAGAGAAGCAGTCACTCTTAGCCCCAGAAAACAGCCGACATTTCGCAACGTCACCACTTTCACGAAATGTTGGCTGTTTTCTAAGTCACTCTTAGCTTTATACTTTTAAAGATAATATTGCGCAACAGAATATAATAGTTACATTTTTGAAACTACTATCTTGGGTAGGAACAAGAGAGGATAAACGGGACAGAGAAGGTATCCCCCAAACACACCCTATTCCATAGGCAATTCGTCTGGAGCTATTTTTAAGACCACAGATCCCAAGGGGGGATTAGATAACAGCCAATCACATAGCGCGAATGTGTTCCGCGTGGATGACCCACGCTCAGAGTGACGCGTCCTTCACAAATTGACGCAGAATAAAATGGCGGAAGACACGGAGAACGATATTGCTATTCGAAAACGACTACAGAGAGATTTCTGCTAAAGCTGTGTCAGAGAAACGGAAACTAAAAAGAATCGCCCTTCCTGGCTTGTTTCTAGGCATTGTTACGACGTTGATACGAGCGAAGTTGAGAGTTCTAGCGAAGATGAAAAAGTCAGTGCAAGCGAGGAGGAACCTGTAACCGAAACGGAGAGTGCCAGTGAAATACAAGAAAACGTAGAAAGCTCCTATTCCGATGTCAGTTCAGCAGATTAAGCGAAGAGGAGGAAAAGTGCAGGGAAGCCTAAACCTGCGCCTTCGAGTTCGACCGTCACCAAATCAGGCAAAAAGGCGCCCAAGAAATCAGATAAACGGAACAAGAGTCTTTTGGAAGAAGAGATGGAGCGATTCCCTTTTCCCAGGTGGGCGTCGACTCATTTCGCTTCAATATTCAGGAATGTTCTCGATCTCTTTACGCTTTCATTGCCTTTCGCCAGACATGTTTTGCACGGCGTTTAGTCATGCCAAACATCCACGCAGCGCGCGAGGTAACTTTATCCCGATTCTAAAAATAACTCGAGACGAATTACCTATGGAATAGGGTGTGTACGAGGGATGCCTTCCCTGCCCCCTTTATCCTCTCTTGGTAGGAACTAACTTTTCATCAGGGTCATTTTGACGTATCATACATCAACTAAAACATTGGGTCAAAACAACTCCACAATCATGGTTATTCTGACCATTTTGGGGGTTGACCTTTTCACCTCTTTAGATTGGTTAAAACAGCTATTGTGATTAGTCACGACTATTTGAATTATTTGTTCCAACTGGTCAGTTTTAACAGTGTAGGTAGACCTTGGACATTTATTTTTATGCCATAATTTTTGTCGGTTGACATTTTTTTACGGCTAACGGTTAACCCCACTGAGACTCTCAAATACCGTATCAATACTGCACTTGGCAGATGGATTATCCAGGCCAAAAAGTGGTTCAATCACCCCTCTCTTTTATTTTACACCTATGAGTGCCCAATAGATATGCACAAGCAATAGTTAATTTATTTCCCTCAGCTTCGATTGACTCTGATCATAAATCATCAGTAATTCAAAATAGTGAATATCTTATTACATAAAATTTTGGTGACACTTTAATTGAGCGATTTTGAAAAATCTATATTTAGCGGTACTTTAATTTAGCGATTTTTCGTAAATTTTGGGACATAAGTCACTTAATTTTCGCGATTTCATGAACTGAAACTTTGGCGAATTAAGGTATTCAAAACTTTTACTACGACAATGTAAAATCATGTGATGAAATCATAGACGTCAATAGCTTCATTAAAAGCTAAATCATACAACGTTCTGATACTTAATTTTGAACAAAACAAACGAAACTGCTGTCCTCACTCATCGTCACACAAATAGCATGATTGTGTGAAACTGACTAGATGGCGGAATTTCCTTTTTGTACTCACTTAAATTTAGCGACAGTTAATTTTGGTGCATTTTAATTTAGCGATTGTTAGAAAAATCGCGAAATCAAAGTGTCGCCAAAATTTCTTGCAATAAGGTAATTTTCAGTTTAGCAGTCACATGTAAGGACCCCGCGTTCTCAGGGGGCGTCAGTATTACTACAAGAATTCGCTCGTTGCATATATTACTGCTTTCTCATCTTGCTGTGCTTCTGTTAAAATGAGACGTTTCTTTGAACAAAAAAGTACACTTGTTTTACAGGCTTACTTGAAAATGAAGTTAAGCTCGACTCTTATAAGTAAAATCTTTTTAAGCAGTTTCATTTAGTAGTTACAAATTAAAACACTCATGAATTATAAATTGCTTTGCTTGGGAACTATCATCGCAAAAGAGTTTTATAGTTAAACTTAAACTAAACACCCAGTGTATAAGGCTGATAATTAATAGTGTTCATACATTGAAGCTCAGCCACAAATTTTCCGTCAATGGAAGTCTCATGGCTCATTCGTTTGGTTTTTCTGACCATTAATGTTTTGATGGCAGTGGTACTGGTGATATCCAACTCGGACTTTTGTACCAGCGTTTATAAAACTCAGACTGGTAAGTTAACACCTGTGGCTTTATTAAATGGTCTTCTAACACCTTTTCCTAGACGCAAACAAAATACTGCTTTTTTGAAAAGTTTGGTCTTCAGTAGAGTGTTAAATACTCGCCATTTTAATAAATCTGAGATGACGATTTCACACAAAAAGCATTTTAAAAAGCATTTCATTTTGCCGACTATATCTGATGTTAAAATTACTTACAACTCTTATCACGTATTTTTAACTTCTGACGATTCGCACTTGTATCAGCCACTATATCTCCTTATCATAAAAGATCATAAAATTGTTCAGCTATAACTGAGTTAATGTATGTCCTAGTTTCGTTTACTGTTTTCTATATATCCCTCGGTTTTTTACTACTTTTATTCCCGACTATATCATTCTGGTGTTAAAGTTACTTACAACATTATCCCTTTTTTTTGTACTTTTGACGATTCGTGCTTGTATCAAATCGCAATTTTGCAAGCCAGTATATCTTTTTATCTTAAGAGATCATAAATTGTTCGGCTATAAAACTGAATTAATCTACCGTAAAATTCCGAAAATGTTTTGGGGCTGATATTTTTCAAAGGCTTTTTTGAGGCGCTTATTTTTGGAGGGGCTTATATGCGGAGGGAAATTTGCGTCCAAAAATCGGCTAGGCTAATACTGGGAGGGAAATTTACGTCTCAAAATCGATTGGAATAGTTTATGGTTGGAAAGAAATCAAGGTCAGTAATTTGCAGAACGTTTTGCTGGAACTTGCCTTGAAGACGTAGATGTTACTAAAACTCAGTCACGCAAGTACTTCGTCTATATGGAACAAGGAAATCCAAACCAAGAGTTAAAAGTGAACTACGCACCAGCAATATACGGTGACACTTTTTGGCTGCAATCATTTGGACGCGTAATAATAATTCTTTGGCAAATGCCAAAATTTATGTGTTACTATACAGTTTTTGCTTCGTTTTATTTTGAATTTGAGGGCAATTTCCAAGTACAAGCCCCCGGGGGCTTATATTTGGAGGAGAGATTTAACGGAGGATTTTTTGCGTTACGAGTTTGGGGGACTTATATTTAGAGGGGCTTAAACATCGAGGGACTTATTTTGCGCATTTTACGGTATGCCATAGCTGGGTTTATGTTCAACTCTAATGTTTTCTGCAAATTCCTCCATTTTTAATTACTTTATCTTTCAGACCATGTTTTAGTTGGTCATGTCGTGAGTACATCAACTGTCGTTGACGAGTTTGAATGTCACCAAAATTGTCTCAGAAATGACAGCTGCAAGTCATTTAATGTTCATCCTGGTGGAGATATTGCAAAACGATTTTGTGAGCTGAACAACGAAACACGGAAGATGAAGCCGGATGATTTTGTTGAGAAGAAAGAATCTTCTTATTACGAACAAGTTAAGGTGAGGTCCACTGTTTGAACATGAATTACCGCTTTTTTTTTAAAAACTGCTGTTTTAAAAAACCTAAACTCTAAAAAACTAGTTTAAACACTTGTTTATGACGGTCACCTTCTTTGGTTTTTTCGGAATTTATTTTCGTCAAATAGGCAAGTATTTTAAAATCTCTTAGCCTTTCTGGTTCATATTCTGTGGAGTATCAAGGTCTTCTCATGAATTACCTGTTGTTTTTGCAGAACTCTGACATCGTAAATGGTACTTTTGTCGACTGATTTTTAAAGAACAATTTGTCGTACAGTTTTGCCTGTGTCTTAAAGTACATATTTGTTTTTACTCACACGGTAAATGTCGCGTATGGTAGGAAATAGAAAGAAAGTATATTAACATATTTAACAATTATTGAATGCGACTGAGTATCATCTGAAGAATTATAGAGATTGAGGAGGGTGTTGTCTACCTTGACTGTTAGCCAATCAGAAACCAAAAAATATTTGCAATGACAATAGTAACTAATTCACATTCGCATAATAGCCACCGTATGCCTCTTGATGGATAAGTTGTGGGTGAAAAATTTTGCAAAAGGCTTAGGGTGAGCTAATAGAGGCAATTTGCCAGCGCCACTGAAGGGGAACTTTCAGTTTAAAAATTAATTATATTTACATGTTCACTATAATAAAGTAAGCAAAATTTGGCAGGAAGGATCGCGGTAGGCCTTGTGTATAACGTATTTTCTTAACTAGAAACAGAGGAAATGGCTGTTTAAACATTTAATCGCAGGTCTAACATACTCTCTATACTTCAATAACAATTATTTTTCAACCGATGATTTTCAAGGAAAAGAGAATAGCACTGGAACAATCGATTTTAAAATTGTTCACCTATAGAGAGTTCATACGACTAACTCTTACAGTCAACGACAATCGTGACAAAAAAATTGCCTGTCGTTGTCAATGGGTGTTTTATCGACTCCAATCGGTATGCAGTCAATGTGCATCCACAGTTCGCATTGGTCACACATAACCCATGGCAAATTTTCGTCATCGGAAGGAGAATACTGTTGCCAGCAGACTTTGCAGCTGTTGTCGTTTTGTTGGGGTAGTGATCTTCTCCATTCCCTTCCGCTAGTCGCACGCTTCCTTCGTTTGCCTGCACTCCTTTCCTTTTCAGTGGACTTCTGGTTTTTCTTTTGTTTTCTTTCTTGCACTTCTCTCTTTTTCGCTTCTTGATTCCTTCTTTTAGCTTCCTTCTTCTCTTCTCTCTCCCTTAATTTCTTCTGCTTTGCGGCAAGTTCCCTCGCTTTCTTTAATTTTGCATCAAGCAAAATTTTCATGGAAGCTTCACCGTTTAAATAGTTCGGGAGGGGTTTTTTCGTATTTTTGCGACTCGCATTAATGTTGTCGGGCGCAGAGGGGTAGATGATTATTTCCTCAAGTACTGTGGAAACTGAATAAGAAGAAAATGAAGCTGCACGTGGGCGTGGGGTAGAAGTTAAAGGCGTTTGCTGCTGTATTGTTGATTCGTTTACTGAATTATTTTTCGATGCAGCAGTGAGCAAGGTCTTCCAAGTCTGGTATGTCGGACTGCCGTCTAAGTTGTAGCCCTCATCCAACCTGCGCTTGTATTTCACCTTCACTGGCGTTTTTAAAACAGACTCTAATGCATCAAACGCGTCAGAATAGGCACTTTGACTTAGACGATATGATCGGCGGGATACATTTTGCGTTGAGCCTACAACTAGACTTCGTTCAGAAAATGAAGACTCCGAGGCCTTAGGCAAAGGAGTACGCGTTGCGCTTACAAGCGTACTTTGTTCAGACTCTTCAGGGAAGGACAACTCACAAGTCTGCGATAAAGGATTACTTGTTGAGCTTAAAGGCTCACTTTCTTGGGGTAGTGGAGACTCGCAGGCCTGAGACAAAAGAGAGGGCGTTTCGCTTTGAGACGTACTCTGCTCCGGGGGAGACAATGTACTCATGGTGGAAGTTACGAAGGAAGTACGCGTTGGTTCAGGCAGGGAAGATTGGCAGGCAGAGTTAGAGGGAAGCGTACTTTGGTCACTGTGCGAATATACCAGGGAAGATCTAACTTGGTCATCGGTAATCTGAACTCTACAAATAGGATAAATACCGGACTTTCTAAAGGCTTCTTTAAGAGTGGATGGACGCATCACGTCGTTCCAGGTAGATTTGAAGACACTACAGAAATTCTTTTTTGTAATGTCCGTACCCGGTTGTTCTGGGAGAAGCGCCTCACATGTTTGTACCAGGTCTGTTTCATTGCTCCAAAGAGACCAACGTCCGCGGGTTGCACTTGATTTTCCTTGGCTAGTTCAAACGTCTGGAGATCAATATGGGCGTCTGCACTGTCAACCAGGAGGACCACTGGCCTGGCGGGTGGAATATTTGGTATAAAGTGGTTGGCAAGCCACATGTAAAATGAACCGGCATCCATGTATCCCTTTTCAGTGATTGAGAATGCGCTTCCAGCTACTCCTCCCTCTACTGGATTGTAGGTAGTGGGGACGCGCTTTCCTGCGAAGAGAAAGTAAGGGGATATCCACTGGCCCGCAGCACTGAAGCAAGGTAGAACCGTTACGTGCTCCTTCGTACCTGTTATTACACGGTATGGCTGATCTTTGGGTTCCGATGGTCCAAGTACTTTTCCTCCCTTTCCTTGTAAGTCAAACCCGGTTTCATCACAATTCCAAATTTGGCCTGGACGGGTGTCAAGTCTAGTCTCTATCATAAACTGTTTATACTCTGTAAACCAGTTGTCTACGTGTGCAGCCGAGATTTTTACGCGTTTTTTGTCTAACGGTCGAGCGTTTCTCAATCTCACTTTCGGGTTTCTCTTAACGAACCCTCTATACCACTTACGACCGGGGCGGCTCGCTTTGAATGGTGTTTTTTGAATGGTGTCCTTCTGAATAAACTTTTGTACGGAGTCGAGAAATTCATCAACAGAAAGGCCAAAACTACGCTTTGATCTCTCCACCAACCAATCAGCCAGTTTATTTTCCTCAGCAACCGTTAGTATAGGGTTTTTCTCCTTGCCTGCTTGTTGATATCTTTCTTTCAATCAATCTATCTCGCAACGTTGATTCAGGCATACCCCATTGTTTTGCTGCCCTTGGCACTGGCATACCGTCTTCCACATCCTTCATTGCACTTTCATATGTTTGTCGCGTTTTCTCCCGATCTTTAGAGGGCTTAACTGGTTTGGACATAATGAGCCTAAAAAGTGTAGAAAGGTTCTCAGTGTTGTGTTTCACTTACACTGGAACATTTTAGCATCGTCTGTATCCCTCTATAATTCCCCTATACGTTGTACCTAGCCTTCATCCCACCCAACCCCACTTCGACTTTATACACTTTTTTTATGCAACAAATGCCTCATCTTTAGATCATAGTAAGAAGCCAACAAAATTTTAATGATTATCTTGTTCTGTTTCATGTTTTGCTGTTACCGTCGTTGCTCAATTCTGCGACGAGCGGGGTGCAAAGCTAATGCGCTGGCTTTCAAAACTGTCACGCAATTTGTCACGGCAATATTATCGCTTCAGTCTTTTCATATTCAATTATTTTCCCTCCCTTTTGTTTACCCTAGAACTGAAATAAACCTCTACCTAAATATAAACAGAAGTATAAAATTTTTACCTTATTGACAGTTAATACTCAGAGCTCAACGACGTTAAAAATATAAACACAGCGCTTTTTCAACCTACGAAAAATAAAAATTTGGGGGAATATATTCAGCGCCTGTCAAAAATAATTACAAAAAACACAGTAAAAACTATGTATGTATTCGAGATATTAAGAGAAGATGACTTATAAACATGTATAAAGAAGATTTTTCACAATTTTTTGAAAACAAAGCCTTTCTTCATTCACTCATCAAAAGGTTTCAGTTTATTTTCGAAATGTAATTCAGCCAAGGTCACAGGCCGCGGACCAAGGACCACTACCCGAAATTTGGTGATATCTTTCAAGAGTTGATTAAACAAAAAATTCAAAGACTGCAGCAAATGTGCTTTCGACGACAGAAATAGGGTTCCCTGAAGACCTAGTCTGCAAAAAGGTACGTTGCGTTATAATTATTCAAAAGCTGTGTAAACCTGACTATGTAATTTACGGCGCCGTAAAAGTACAAACTTCAAGAAAAGCAAATTCACCTACCTGTAAACAAACTTGAACTGCGCGCCTTTGACAACAGCTTGAAAGCCGAAACCTCGTCATATGAAAGGAAACTAATCGATAAATGATCGGACACATTAATTGTTTTCGTATTTTATTTCGCGCCAGAGTATTTCATCATGTTCGGAAAAGACGCGGACCAAGGGCATCGCGAACTTCCGCGGACCAAGGACCACATACTGTACTCAAAATGCCGCGCGTTAAACCATTTTAAAATAAAAAATAAACATAATAAATTCTTTATTATATTGGAGCTTAACTGCGTTAATGTTCATTCAAACACTCGCCACAGCTAGCATGTACTGCAAAAGTCAGAACCGGCTGGCCGTATAGGTGATTTTGGAAATTTTTTTAACGGTTTAGCTAAAGCCCACGCGTGCTTCGCTCGTCCTGAATATTGAATGATAGCAACTTGTATTGCAAAACTGTCAAATACTGCATTCTGTTGTCCGAGGTCTGTATGATAAAAACAGTGCCTCATAGTACTGTTTCACCTCAGATGTGATGTATAAATGATATATAAGGCTGGTTTACACGAACCCAGATTTGTTGCCAATATTTTGTAAAGTAAACTTGTCGAACGCAAAAATTCGGCCGGAACTTTTTTCCAGGCCTAATTAACCCACGGTGATCAAGAGCCATTATGACTCTTAAAAAATGTGATCGAAGACGATTGCCAGTTTTTCGGTGTACATATGAGGCCATCAACTCGATGTAAGATTTGGTTCACTGTGGGGTTGTTTGCAAATTATTTTTGTCTAAAATCACTTAGCCTTTCCCTGAAAAGTCACATGAATGTGCTCGAAGGTTAACTGAATTTTGGAATACAAGTTTATTGTTTGATTTAAATTGTAAATTTATTAATGGGAGCCTCGCTTTTAGCCCTGGCTAAATCTATATATTAGTTTCCAAATACCGGTAGGACGCTCTAACAACAGAGCTGTAGGCGACTCACATGGGAAGCAGGTCGCAGGTTTTGGGGTAGCCACAGGACCTCGCATCTCGCGAATACGCTGGACTAAAGCAAAGCAACACACTGACTTACTTGCATCACGCAAGTGAGTTGCTTCCAGTGTATGTACACTATGATCGAATTGGTATGTAGAGGTCAAATTCACTGCAGTTGCTCGCAGTACTGTTGAAAATATATGGTTGACTTTAGAAGCAAGTCCAGGTGTGACCAATTCTGAATTAGCTGCTGGTCGGGAAAGGAGCCCGTTCTTGAAGAGAAAGAACGCCGGACCTTGAGAGCAGTTGAAATTGAGCCTAGAACTACATGTACTAATACACCGCTATAAGGGGCTTCTAATAAATTGGCCTAGGGAGCGGGGAATTAATAGCGGTGTCAATGTTAAGTTCCTTGCTGAGTCCAAGGCATCGGGGGGCCGGAGTTTCTGTTGACTGATGCATAATTGCTTAAGCTTACCAGACGAGATGCAGGTCTTGAAGGCCATCAAGTAAAGCTAGAATCGCTTGCGATTTTTCAACACTTAGCTCTTACGGTGAAGTAGAGTAAGCTCATTTTTGAAAATGATGCCATCCAAAATCGGATTTTCGATGACTTTCACAATCGCCGAATTTCTCAACCATAAACCCAATAAACAAACTAGCAATGAATAACAAGAATCTTGATAGCGAGCTGTATAAGTTGACATAAAACTCTGAGCTTCAGCTATCAGTAAACAAGTTTCCAAATGCTGCATAAATTTTCAGTATCAATTCACCTGTCACATTTTGACGAATCGCGAAAAAAATGGGACGTAAAGCATGGTCAACGCGTGACAATGGCGGGAAATGCCAAAAGCAACTGCCTTCCCCTCCTGTTAAATAGAATATCCAAAATAGGCAACGTATTCGGTCTTTCTTCCCCTTTAACTAGGTTAGGACAGCTTTTTCCAAAATCTTGCCCGTGCTCTTTGTGCTAGTGCGGAGCTTGAGCCTGTCAGTTGCCATCCATCTTTTTAGTCTTTGCAACTTTTTCGAGATTTTTTTCGCGACTTTTTAAAATTATCTTATTGCACTTAATCAGGCCCGGAGAAACCCCCGTCCAGCCCTATCCCTTCCCCCGAACCTAACCTGATAACAAGCATTCTCGTTCCCAGAGCTTCGATCCTTTTGGTCAGCGGCGGGGATCGAGAGCTCTGGTTGGTTCCAACTCAAGGGCTTGTTTTGGTTGGCTTTCAAACACAAAGGAAACAAACCGGAAATAAAAGGTAAGGCGAACATGGCTGATAAGGGTGATGACCGTAGGATCCGGATCGGACAGCATTAATACTTGCGTGGAGAATTGAATTTGAAGAACGTCTAACGGAAATATTATTTTAAACAAACACCCGCTGTTTCTTATTGAAAAAGTAACAGTTGAAGGAGTAACTGAGGTTGAGATCAGGGAAATTTTGCGGGTTAAAAAACTACTGGCTGGGATGAGTGGTGATAGTTTTCAGTCATTTGTTTGAGAAGACGACTATAGGGGATAGCCAGCCAGGTTCAAAGTGAAAGACAAAGGCTGCAAGAGAACGGTACGTTAAAAAAGATCGATGTTTTCCCTCTGTGTTTGTATTATTTGACATCTTGGTACTACTGACAATATTACAAAATTATTGATATAGAAAGCTTACTTTTTGTCACTCTTTGAGTTGAATGCTGCTAGTTTTTATCTGGCCTGTATTTTACTACTTTCTAATTCATCAAACACCAAACCCCTCACTAGTCAATTATAAATCTACTTATTTTGTGTATATTTCTGAAGTAATATCATGTAAAACTGTGTAAACCCATTCCAGTAACTCATCAGTGCAAATGCAACCCCAATATCCCCATCCATTTAGCTCTCTCTGCGTTGGCTACCCCCAGAGAATTAAACCATTTCCTTGAAGCCAGAGTCAAATTCATCACCCAAATAATTTTCCATTTTTTTTTCTTTATTTTGTTCAAAAATATTTAAATACATAATAGACCAAGTTCGATATATTTA